TAGTTACAGGCCTCCAACTAGACTCCATTTAAAGGAGGTTGGGTTGCTTTCCTGTGCAGGGGGTGTTGACAGGTAATACCGATGCAGGTTGTCATCGGTTCTGGGGAGTTATAGTTACTTTAACTGCTGATAACGGGGCAACAGGCTCATTATCCTGTCCTGCTCATATCTAGTTCCTTCTACTGTCTCTGGACGTACTAGGATCTCATTATATGGATTTTGCATGCACACCTTGCACAAGTCATTAGTATGTTGTCCTCCAACATTTGCTGTCTGTTCTCCCACATCTTTCTTCAAGATACCTATCTTACGTGTTCTGCAGTAACCTGCTGTTTAGGCAAGCGAAAGCGTATGCTGCTATTGCCCGGTTTTGAAATGTCTGTTTTTCTGGCTGCTTAAGAGGTCCATGTGTGCTGATGGACCAGATGTTTGCCTGATTGTTGGGCTGTGGAGGCACTGAGCGAATAAATATCTTTGTGGGCGACATGGAGTGTGAGGTTGAGCTACGCAGTGTTTTAGCAGTTGTCTACTGATGGATGTTTTTTCTTTATTTAAGTCTAACTATTGGTATGCTGTCTTTTATACTTGATACTTTCCGTAGTACTTAATATAGTAGTTAATACTTGTATGTGTAATTTAACATTACTTTCCCTCCTTGAATTGACTAATAGTTCACCAATTCTGTAATACTAGAAAGCAAAAATCTGTCACAAACTATATTTTAATGTAAGGTGCTATAAGAGTACTTAGTAGCATTTTTGAATTTTCAACATGCTAAGAGCATTGTGTGAAATACAGGTGCCCAGTGTAGCAAATGTTCAGGTGCTACCACTATAAAATCATATTCTCAAAACTATGTTCAAATTCAGTTATGTAGTTATCTTACAAAGTACTGCTAAACAGAGCAGCTCAATATTTCAGATAATTCAAAGATGCTAACTTCAAAAATGTTTTGCAGTGGAGTAAGCTGCTAAAATACTTCCTAGATAATATTTTCTAAGAAGAATGCCATCTTTCTTCAAATGAGTTACATTATTGCATCTTCTAGATTCCCATCTACGTATGACTCAACTTTCTTCCGTGATACAACTGAGCTTAAAAAATGCATTTTTAACTAAAAACTTGATAATGGAAAAAATAAATACAAGATTATACCTGTTATTGGATAAGAGTAAATCCCAATAGCTTGGTCTTCTGGCTTTTCAAACTTGCATAAATTTTTCTCTCAGAGTAACAGGAGGGAAGTAAGCTGCACTATGAGAAATCCTATGTCTTACAGATACCCTCCAAACTTCTGAGCGCATTCTTGCTTCTTTGGTTTTATTGCCTGTTTTGATGGAGCATGGGGCAGGGAGCTGGGTCTGTTCTGCAGAGCAATGTAGAATTTTTGAGTTGCATGTCAACCGTAGCATTGGGAACACACTTTATTTTCCTGTGAAAGGAAACATTTGTCCTTCTAAGAGATTAATGGATGGAAAATAATAAAAACAGTTATTAGATTGCATACCTTCTGGACTGATAAGGTATACTTTGTGATACCTAATTAACATTATTGACAGAAATGCACTTCTGCCAGTATAACCGATACAAATAGTTTTTTGTGTGTTTTTTTTTTTTTTTTTTTTTTCTGGAAGAGCTGTCCCAGTGGTTGATCACTTGGGTTCATACTTCTGGCTAATTGTGGTGATAGATGAGGTCCAAACAGCTAGAAAGTAAAATGTAAATAAATTGCAAAGTTGCTTTGTTTAAACAGGGGCTGAATTTAAAAACAGGTATTTGCTAGAAATAGAAGGAGGATCTTTTTTGATAGAAAAGAGAAGAGGCTGTAATAAAGAGGAAAGAAAGCTTCCAATATTTGAAAGGCAACTTGGTGTTAATCCTTCAAGAGGGAGATTATACTAAGTGACCTCTAGAGGTCTCTTCCAAGTGATATTTCTGCAATTAAACAGGACACTTTAGAAATTTCTTGCTTGTGTAAAGTGAAGAGAAATTTAAGAATTAAATGTACAACAGAAAGGATGAGTTAATTTTATTGCTAGTTTTATTTAACCTCTGTATTCTTGTCTGGCTAGTTAAGGTTGCACACCTAAACTTTTAGTTTACTGGCCTGACTGCAAATGTGATGATTTTAAAAATCTGACAGATGCGTAGGTTGAGAAAAAGAGATTGATATTTTAGTACCAAAGAAATATAATATGTCTCTGATGAGTTAAGAATTATTAGGTTTTGCCTTGAAAAATATGTATTTCTTCAGGCAGTGTTTGCAGCTTGTTTTAAAAATTAACATGGTTATAAAAAATTACTGCGACTAATTGATGTATTTTACTTCCACAAAATCAAAGTTTGGTATATTAGGGACTTTACACTCTTCTTTTAGAGAGTTGTTTGACACAGAGCCTGTTTACATTGTTTATAGAGCTTTCAAGAGTATATATAGCATATAGCTTTGAAGAGCCTTCTGAATTTTGACAAACAAGAATTCTTGATTTTCTTCTTTTTTTAAGAGCATGATCAGAATACTGTGAAGAGTTTTGTAAATGCTTAAATGCAAAAGTTACATGGGCAGTGTGTACTCCTGCAAGCCTCATTTGTATGACTGTCACATATTCTGCCTTTGAAATTGAACCTTTGCCATTCACCCAGAATGTAGGATTGGGCCATTATTTAATCTAAGGCTGCAGTTTTTTTATTTCTGTGGAGTTCGTCTTTTTTACACTATGCTGACCCTTTTCAATTTAAGTTTATAATTTCAAAATGCTTAAATGGCAAGTGGGGGAAAGACAGACTATGTAAGAAAGTCTTTTAATGTTTTAAAAGCTGTTTAGTATTTCCATATGAACCCCTGCCTGCTGATTTAAAAAAGCACTAGGTATTGAATGCATTTTTTTTGTGATTTACTGGCAAAGTAATAACAGTTGGTATACTGCTTAGAGAGTAAATTTACCAAGTTCCATTTTCAGTTGTTCCTTGGTTTAAGTAAGTGAAAGTCTTGGAGATGGAGTGTGGGGAGGAAGGAAAGATAAAACCCCAAATGAGGTTGAGGTGTTCACTTCAACTTATGTAGGTGAGTCAAAATTATGATGAGTACCACGAGAGAGAAACAATTTGAAAATTTTGGTTTTTTTATTTCACTACCTGCTTTGTTATAGGTTGTATATGAGCAAGAAGGAGTTTTCATTCATTCATCCTGTGGAAAAAATGATGACCAGGACAGCTTAATATCAGGAGTGCTACGTGTCATAGAAAAGGTATTTACAGTTATAGAAAATTTGTGTATTTGTTGGTGAAGCATGTAATGTGTTTGGCAAATCTTAAGTGTCTCTTTAAGTATAGGTTTTTGTAAATGAACAGACATCGCATAATGTTTGACGTCGTCTGCATCGTTTATATATGTGTGTGTAAATTGTACCATAATCATACCATGAGTAAATAGGAATATGTACTTTGTTGTGTAGTATTGAATTTTTTTATTATTGTTTGTATTACAGGAAAATGAAGTAATAGTAGACTGGAGACCACTGGATGATACTTTGGATACTTCTAATATCCTCTGTGCTGGAAAGGTGTGTTAGTTATCAGTGTTCTTCATTCTGTGTTTCCAGAGATTTAGTGTTAACTTATGTGTAGATGATTTCATAACTGGAAGCAAAATCTGTTTATGTGGTTATCATTGGTATTAAAAGCTACGTGTAGGAATCACATTTGTAGGCTGCAACCCAGTTCAGGTTGTTGTGATACATGCATGTGTAGGTAACTGTATTTAGTTTTTGCTTGGTTCATATATAAAATAGAAGGGGACTATCTGTATGAATAGTAAAGACCAAATGAGTGTATCATGATCACTGGTCCCCCTGAATCTACCATGTTGTAGTCTGGTGATTCACTGTTTGTAATTAGATTCAAAACAGAGGTACTGTTCTAATGCAAAATAAAAATAGAAGTCTATGGAGGTTCCAGTATCCAGTGATATGTGGTATTTAAGCAGTAATAAGAGGATGTGACTAGAGAAGATTTATGTTTTACGTTTAAATAAAGAAGTTTGTTATGTTGGTAGAGTCTGCAAGAGAAGCTAGGATATTTTAGTACCATGTTGAATTTATTAAATAAAACCTCTTTTTTTCTTCATCTTAGTCATAAGTCCGAATTCCCTGTTTTGAACTGTATTGTGTTTCTTAAGATTTTAATACTACTGATTCTTTTAATTTGTGAAAATTAAGATGCTTATTCTTGTTGAATCTGAGAAATGAGCTCAATTTTCATGCCTTGTGTTTTTTGATAGTCACTTTTTTTTTTGCTCAGGATTCCAGTTCAGTTGTGGAGTGGACTCAAACTCCTAAAGACAAATGTTCCCGAGGAGCAGACCGTCCAAGTAGTTATGAAGCAGAATGGGACATGGTCACCACAGTCTCTTTTAAAAAGAAACCTCATTCAAATGGAGGTATTTAAAAAATAAGTATGGGGGATTTTGTTTTGTTTTTTCTTTATCCCAACTTGTAACTGAAGAATTGCCTTTTACATACAGTAAATTGATTTTATCTTGAATTGAAAAGCTGATAGTCATTTGTGGTAAGAGGTGAATGTCTGGGTGTGGAAAAAATTCACAATGGAATAGCTGCTGCCCACCTGCCTCCAATCTAATTTTTTCTTTAAGTTGCTAGAGAATTGTATTGAAAATAAATTTTAAATCTAACTTCTTGTTGTGATGTAGCAGTTTTATCTGCATTGGGCTCTTGCTTTCCTTCAAACAAAAGTAATTTGAACTAGATGTGTTAGAAAGGAAAATGAAAGAAGTGGTTTACTACTCAAATGCCTTTCTGTACTGCAACAGCAGGGGGAGATGGAACATGGTAGTACATGGGTCTTTTTATGTGATCTTTTTTACTTTGTCAAAATGAGTTTATAGCTACATAATTCTTGTTATAGTGTCTCAGTAGATACGTTGTGAAAAAAGTGGGAGAGAAAGGACAGTGATTCTCAAGTAATCTTTTTTCTCTGAATCTCCCGTAGTATTTTTCCTTATGATACTTGTGTTCCCTGTATTATTTCTCAGCCTATAACTGGGAACCATTGTGCTTGTTTCATCATATCTGTGATGGTTTTAAATGTCATCTATGAGTGCAGGGTTTGGACTTAAGATTATGAATGTTTTTGGATAAAGCACAATCCTTGCTCCTAGAATGCTGTGTTTGAGAGGAGCTTTTAGTGCTAGCATGATATAAAGCTAAAACCAGCATCTCTGTCAGGCATAGGATGGTTTATTGCATCACTGGTTTGTATTGATTTTCCATCTTCAGATATCAGAGTACATTTTCATCCAGAGTGAGTGTCAATGAGCACTACTGACTTGCATTATACTCTTTGCACTTCTTGCTTATTTCCAGTTGCTGTAATTTGGTGGGGGCAGGCCAGGGGATGTGCCAGATTGTGTCCAGGCATGCTGGCCATTTTCTGTCCTCTGGTAAAGTAAAATTTAATCCCTTCTCTTTGAATGTATACGGTCTTGTGCAGAGCGTGTACGTGATTGCACAGCATGGGAGAGAGAGGTGGGTGGGGAGATTTTCAATTTCTTCTCCCTTACTTTGTCAGCAATCTTACAACATGTGGCTACCACCATGTGCAATATATAGCATACAGCGTGGTAATGTGTATCATGTTTAGTTTGAGTAAGTAGTAATACCTGGTGGAGATGCTGGTGTGATTCAGCTTGCTGCTGGAATTTGAATCAGCAGTTGTACCTTTAACTGCTGTATCACTTTTACAAACTGTAGGCACAGCTTTAGGGGAGCAGTCTAATGGACTTGCTCATTATTTTACAAGTCTGTAGAAGATGAGGAGGCACAAAGAGAAATCTAGAAACAGCAGTTAACAGTAGTTACGGTATACATTTTATTATCAGAATGAATGCTGGGCTTTGTGTTTTGGTTTTGTGTTTATTTTTTAGGAACAGTAATAGATATGCATTTGTAATCTCCAACACTGGAAGTCAAACTAAAATCATGTGGTAATTTTGTTTTTAAGATGTTACAAGTCATGCAAATGGAGAAAGCAAGTGGTCGTTCCTGTTCAGTTTGACAGATCTGAAATCAATCAAACAAAACAAAGAAAGCATGGGATGGTCTTATTTGGTGTTCTGTCTGAAGGATGATGTGAAGCTTCCAGCTCTTCACTTTCATCATGGAGACAGCAAACTATTGATTAAATGCCTTGAAAAGCATGTTGTGCTGAATGAGTAAGTATCAGCTAACTTAGTTCTGATTTAAAATACAGATTATTGGTTTACTTTTTTTAATTTCAGATTAACACTTCCTAATGTTTTTTCAGATTAACACTTCCTAATGTATTTTCTTGCCCCTTTTTTATTAGTAAAATCAATTTTCAAGGTGACTGAAGCTGCAGTTTCACCCATGTATTCGGAATGTAGGCTGTTGGATCCATTTATGAACTGGTTTGGAGTCTGTTGAAGTTATCAGCTCAGTAGCTCCCTCTAGTGGGTACAGAAGCTTCTCATGAACCCTCTGTGTAAAGTTAAATCCTTCTTCATTAACCACTTCTGTTAAATGGGATAATTTGTGTTAATATTTGTGATCTTCTACTTTATGTGTAGTATCTCACTATAGACATCCCTGTGTGAGATAACTTATAGTACTGTCAACTAAACCTGTGCGTATATGAAAGTTTTCCCCCAGAATTCTATTCCCTTCTAAATTCTTGCTGTGGGGAGTGTGTTTCATACTTGATCTTTAATCTTCAAATCAACTTTCTGTATGTAAACATAGTTAGACCCTATCATACTCAGGTTTTGTTGTGTATTTATATTGTGTTACCTCCAAGTTTTTCACTTGGATAAAAGCCTTTTTGATTGGTATAGCATAGATACAGAATAAAATAAAAAGTTCTGCTCTCACCATGTAGGCATAAATATAAGTTAAGATGACAACAGGGTAAATAAGAGTAGGGACAGCATGAAGAAAAATATAACAGGTACACCTGTAACAGGTATTCTGTTTTAAAAAGTGTTTTATTATCATCACTTGTGACACAGTGTTCTGATGACAGATTTGAAGGTGGATAGTGGAATGGCTGTGGGAATCCTTACAGAAGGCTCTTAGAATAATAAAATCGTTAAGGTTGGAAAAGACCTCAAGGATCATCAAGTCTGATCGTCAACCCAACACTGCCTAACTCACTATAACCAGGTCCCTAAGCACCACATCTACACATTTCTTGAACGCCTTCAGGGATGGTGACTCAACCACTTCCCTGGGCAGCCTTTTCTGATGCCCGATCACTCTTTCAGTGAAGAAATTATTTTCTGTGGTCTAGTAATGAATTGTGGTGATTAGTTTTTTTTAAGGAAAGCGAAAAGAACACATATGTCACATAAGTTGTGGAAACAGCAGGCTTCGGTCTCTGTACATTTGTTTCCTGATGGTTTTTTGTGCTTTAGTACGTGATATATCTAAGCTCATAACCTCTTTTAGGAAAAGATGTTTACTCAGCTTTCTGGATACCATGAGCAAATACTTGGCAGCATAATTACTTGTTATCCCAACTTGTAGTTTACAGTATTTGGGATATTGATATAAAGGCAGAATGTTTAGCTTTTCTCTAAAATATCTTTGTCATATTTTCTTTCTCTGTTGCTATTACCTCAAAAGTTTTTGCCCTTCTCTGACACCGTTCCTTATAAAATGTCATGTCATTGCTGAAATTGGTGTGTGTGAAGTGGCTAAACTTGAACAAAATATTTGTAATTTGTTGCTTGAAAGATTATGTGCTTCCTAGTTTGGAAGCACCAGTCTGATATTGAGAAAGTACTGCATGTACAGATGACACTTTCTAACTCACAGTATTATGAGTCAGTATTTAATAAAGTGCCTAGCTCACAAATTTGTTTTGAACAATACCAAGTAGCTGTTGATACCCAACTGGGTGTCCAGGGAGAATGTTTAATTAAAATGGAGATATGGTACAAAGTTTTCGTTCTTTTAGTTAAGGAGCATAATACGTGACTCAGCCTTTGCCCCTGTGCTGCTTTTTAGCAAAACCCAGTTGAGCTTCATTAACTGTTGCTGCCTCAGAACTAGGACTGCGGTGTCTGGCTGTCTCAAAATTAGATCTCTTGTTGCATTTAATATCCGTCTGTTAACAGTGTCCTGTCATGTTGGAATGGGAGGGAGATAAGCATTATTAAAGTCCTTATCTTTGACTTTAATAACATGGTAGATGATGCAGGTACTAATAAAAATAAAAGTAATTTTTCTTGCAAAGACTAGAAATAGTGGATTTAAACTTTGGGAGAGAGCAATAGAGACGTATTTTGTAAATGTATCTGTGATAGATTAGAGTCAGATGGCAAAGTGCTTGGCTTTCCTCTGCCTAGCTACCAACTCCAAGGCTTGAAGGTCAGCCTGGCTTCTGAGCTGTTCTCTCCTCTGTCACATAATGAGCTGTAAATTGGTGATTCAGGAGCTGGTTAATGAATTTTTGGGGTATCTGTGTCAGAGGAGGGGAGAAGATGGGATGTTGGGGTGGGGGGTGAGAGCAAAAGAACAGATTAAATACTAGGAGCGGCATGGTTCCACTGTCTTTGTTACAGTTTTCATTTGCTTGTCCAAGCCTGTTAGAGAAGCCAATGTTATATTGAAGAACAAGAGTGTACAAATACAGTGAGTTAGGCCAAATTGTACTCTTTCATTCTTTGAAAAATCATTATGCTTTTGAGAAATTTTTGAGAAATTACTCGATGGTAACCTTTGTCACCCACCTGTAAACAAAGTTTTCTTCAACTATAGTTTTCTATATTTGACAATGGACAAAAAAAGAGATGACACAGGAAAGGAAGTTTAGTGAGATGCAGTCAGCCTCAACACATACACGCTGAAACTCCTTTAACCTAACAGAGGACATTAAAAGAACCCGTGTCACCATATACAGTTAAGGAATTCTTTCTACCAATTAGTACCAATGAGGCTTTGTGTTCATTTAGCTTTGGAATCTACACAGAAACACATTTGCAGGGCTGTACTGAGATGGTTCTGTTTCACAATACAATGGCTGTGGTGTTTTTTAAGCTCCTATCAGTATGAATCTTAGAATTATTCTGACAATAGCTGTTGTAATTGTGTTGGTTAGAAATTTGATGTGCTTTCATATATTGAAAAGCAGTTTGTATTCCTTTATGTAATGTTTTATGGGGTGCCTTAACTTAAGATTTACTCATTGGTAGAAAGAATTCCTTAACTGTATATGGTGACACGGGTTCTTTTAATGTCCTCTGTTAGGTTAAAGGAGTTTCAGCGTGTATGTGTTGAGGCTGACTGCATCTCACTAAACTTCCTTTCCTGTGTCATCTCTTTTTTTGTCCATTGTCAAATATAGAAAACTATAGTTGAAGAAAACTTTGTTTACAGGTGGGTGACAAAGGTTACCATCGAGTAATTTCTCAAAAATTTCTCAAAAGCATAATGATTTTTCAAAGAATGAAAGAGTACAATTCAGAATGAATAAGATGATGACTAATGTTGTGAAAATGAAAGTCCTGTTTTGTAGTGTGCTAGCTTGTGAACTTGGGCCAAGAACTAAGAGTGATCTTGCATCAAAGCTGCTTCCTGTGCACAAAACCTGAAATGTGATTTCAGAAAACAGTAAATGTTCTAAAAACATTTTCAGGAAAAACTAGTGTTACTTACAGAAACACTTTCTAAATTTTACTGCAGATCTCCACAGGATAAACGGATTCTTCTTGTGAATTCTCAGAACAAGTCTCTGTCTCAGTCTTTTGAAAATCTCTTTGATGAACCCTCATATGGCTTATTACAAGTATGTATTATGTTTGAATTTTTTATTCTGGAAAACATGTGTTAAAAACCCCCACCCTAACATGTCACACAAATATTCCCTGAATCATTGCCGTTGTAGAAGCATTGATTGTATCCTAAAACAAGTGCTTCCTGTAGAACGTGTAGAGTTGCTTATAAGTTGTTCTGTGTGTTCTAGTAATTTCTTAACTTCTCTGTGGTACTATTTCAAGCCTACTCAGATTAGTGACATCTGTGATTCTGTGCATTTGGGTACAGATAGTTTTAGAAAGTGGAAGAAGGAAAATTTCAGAGTTACCAAAACATATTAATTAGAATTTTCTACATTTTCCTTGACTAAATATTCTTTTCCTTCATATTTTCTGACAGTTTGGAAGGGATGCTGGAAATAGAGCAGGAAAGAATGCAATATTGCCTAAAAGAGGGTTGTTTATTTAATGTTAAAACTGCTTATCATTTGGTGAGGATTGTGGACTCGTGAAAGTCAGCAGCAAAATTTACAGTGACCTGAATGAGGCCAGATTTTTGGCACACTGATTTGTTTAGTTAAAGAAAACCTTCATGAATGAATTACATTAGTTTCTGGACTTAGTTGTCAAATCAAGTTTTTTTGTGAGATTCCTAGCAGAGTACACGATTATTCAAGATGTTGTGTGTTCTCTGTGAAGGTAGAGATCCTAGGCATAAGGAAGATGTTTTGTGGCATTAATCACTGGAAGGTAAACAGTAGATCTGATCTTTTTTTTTTTTATGGAGGTCAGGCTTACTGAGTACACTGCTGTCCAATCTTTTTAATCAATCCATAGTGCTACCTTAAGATATCTTTTTTTAATAATGTAGTGAATGTACTGTGAAACTCCTGATACATGGAATTCAATGGCTTTGAGACTTAGAGTACTCCTCCTGTTGTTTTGCTTTCTTTGGATACAAGAATTACAAATAATTTGAGGCTTTTTGTATTTTACTTGTTTTCCTTGTTGTAACACAGAAATTGAAGAAAGATCCATACACAGTAACAATGGGAAGATTTTCCAAAGTCACAAACTATATTTTTGACAGTTTTCGTTTAAGTGACACTTCAACTCAAAGGCGACCACCATCAGAAATGGCAGACTTTCTCAATGATGCTATTCCAGGGCTAAAGATATTTTTTGAAGAACCAGGATTTGAAGTCATTACACGAGTGAGTGTGTAAATGAATGGTACAGATGCATTGATTCTTTTTTATGCACACCTTTAAAGGAATGGTAGGTCTTGAAGCTTGGTGAGTTATACTGTTTATGGTTGGTGACTGTGGCGTACAGTGCCCTACTATGTATTCACAAGAGTAAGATCATTATCACACGGTGCTAGAATATGTGATTTTTATGCCTGCAAATACGAGTTTTGCTTTGAAAATTTGACATTACTGGGATGAGGATTATTGTTATCGTAGAGTCACTGCCCTGAAAACTGACCCCTTTCATGTTTGGTGTTTCCTCTGCTCAGAGAGCTATATTAAGTAAAATTGGGGTATACAGGTTAATAACCAACTTTCTTGGCTATTCACTTTACCATTTCAATTTAAGAGAGCTAAGAACATTTTAAAAAAGTATTTAATTGGATGATTAATGTCTAGGGTGTATAAATGCACAGATTTATGTATGACTTGAACCAAAGCTAGAATGATCTTGTGAGTGGATCATGAATCAATTTGTGTGGGCTCCTGTTGGTGTCATTTACAGATTTGTGGAAAGAGTTTATTTTTAAATGCTTTTGATTACTATTTAAAGCATCTCACATGTTTTTAGAGTGTTGAACTCCTTTGAGTGTTGTTTTTTTCTTGAGTTCAAAATAGTGTTAATAACTTAGCAGTACAGTACATACAGCAGAAGTATGTACTTCTAAGAAAGTGCTGCCTAGCACTTAGTTAATAAGTGAGAAACAGTAAAATGAATGCTACATATTACAAAATAATACTGACTTGTATGTCTTAATCTGGCAAGTGCCTTAGACTTCTAAAGAGTTGAAACAGAAGTTGACTTGATGGTTGCCATCATCAAAATATTTTTAGAAAGTAAGAAACTACTGTCTGCTGAATTCTGCTGTGCTTAAACATGCAGTTTGGGAACTGAGACTAACCACAAACTGAAACTGGTGGGTTTTAGGAGTTCTTAAAGCATATATAGTCGTCTTTTTTTTTAAGGGGCAGTGTACTTAAATTGATCTTTCAGACACACTCTACAGTCTGTGTGGGCATAACATCTCTGAACCTGAGTAGCTTTTCAGTTCTGTCTTAAGATACTCTTAATGTGTATCAGGAATGTGCTTCTGAAGTGAAGCTCCCTGTTGTCCTTGTTTGCTGTGTTGCACATACCTAATACATTTCCAGTTGTGTAGCGGCTTATAGTCCATGGGAAGCTAGTTCAGAGGTGTTTGTGGGGGTAGAAGGTTACTTAAAACATACACATACATCCTCCTTCAAAATCTGAAATATTAACGTGTATACCCAGGTCCTTAGCACAGAGTGTCTTGCTTTAAAGATCTGCTTGTGTTGGTCCGCACTACTTGTTAATGTGGATGTAGCCTTAGATCCTTATAGTTGCTCATTGAGGTATGCACATCTGAAAATGTAGTTGCACTGAATATAAGAAACTGGCAAGCTTAGTACTGTTTGTGAAATTGTTTAAAACTACTAAAGCACTTCACGGGATTCATATAACATATTTGTGTGTGTTTCAGATTGATCTAGGAAAACAGCCTGAAGTTAGTAGAAGAGAGCCTGTGTCGACTGAAGAATGGGCTAATAATATGGATTCTGAAGGAAGAATTTTAAATGTTGACTACATAAAGCGATTGATATTTAAAGGGGTAACTTGTTTTTCTAAACTCAGCAAGACCTATAGCTTACTTCTGGACCCTTTTTCTTTCCTTCCCAAACCCTGGTTATGCTGTTTTTATTATACTTTTAGTGCTTCGTGCAGGACTTTGAGCATGGGCCAGTCAGTTTTGTTGGAGAGACTTCATAAAGCATGATTTCATGTGAATCAAATACCTCAGCAGTCTTGCAACCCTACAAAGTGCTCTACAAGGAGAGAGATCTTGTGGTGGCTGGCTGAAATGAATGAGTTGAAAACACAAAGGCTTAAGTGATAAAGAAGAGAAATCAAAGTGCCTTTCCAGAAAACACCAGTGCTTCAGTGTTAGCATATCCGGCTTATTCTTTTTGAGGGTGTCTTTTCCTTCTCCAACAAAAGCTTCTCTTCTTTGCCTGGTAGTTTGTGTGGATTTGGCCCTCATCTTATGAGCAGTGCTAAACACTCTTGCTGTTATTTGGTTTTGAACTGAGGGTTTTTGCAGTATGAATGTGAATTCAGTCTTAGTGGTGGAAATTTTGAAAACTTTAGTTAATGTCCCATAGCTGTTCTACCTAATGTTACTTTAGTATTTCTGGGTTTTTTTGGTGAGAATCCAGCTGCCTTAATGCATTCTTTGTGCACCCGTTGATGCATGTTTGCAAGCATGCAGTCTTGCCTTCTTGGAGTTTCAGCAGCAGACAATGATAACATTTACTATTACAGTTTTTAAAGACCTATACATGTTAAGTAATATACTGTGAAGGGAGTAGAGTGAAACTGATGCCCTTTTCAGTTTCTGTGGCTGTTCTTTAATATACTTGTGCCAGAGATGCCCAATTAAGGCCCATTCTGCAATCATGAGAATTACTATAAACTTTTTCTCCCAGTAGCCCATTTCCCTGTCACCTCCTCTTGTCTGTTGGCAAAGGAGTGAGTGCTCCATTTTGTTTAGGACTCTTGATCCCAATATTTTCCAGTACATTAAATGCAGATCCTCTTTAAAGAAGAAAAAAAAAAACCAAACTTACAATGCTTCTCTTAAACTGTTTGCCTGCTACTGGAAGAGTTCCAGTTGCTGCTTGTTTTATGATTCTTGATGCTATTTGCTGGACCATCTTCCTTTTCTTAATCTAATGGTAAATGAAGAAATATAGTGAGGAATCAAGCTGGCCTTGGAGTAGTAAGCAGGGGAGTCTGATAGCAAAAGTGTCTCATTCTCATAACTGTATTGCAGGAGTTGAAAGAAACTTTTGATTAGAGTAGGATATGATTCAACTAGCACATTTTTGTCATCTATAAATTATAAGCATTACTTGGAAAGATTTGTGACAAACGGTGTCCTTGAATGGACACTGGTATTTTTGATTGTTTGTAAGATTCATCTGTGTGTTGGCCATGTCTTGTTAGATGAAAATATTTGTTTAAAAAAATAAATAAATGGTCAAGATCAGTTTGCAGGGAGACCAGAGGTTTGTCAGTTTAGCAGAATGATGCTTAAATATATAAATTTTAAAGGTACTTTTTTTTGCTTCTAAAGTCTCTGATGCCTGTAAGGTTTTTGTTTCCAGCAGTGAAGCAAAAATACAGGAAGAAACATCTTTTGTGTCGTTTCTTTTGTTATCTTCTAAGGATGGATCCAGTGCTTCGACAGTTTTCTGCTTAATTATATTCTCTTCTTCCCATTTCTTCTAAGTGTCATACATAATTAGCAGATAAGATTTGACTACAATGTAAAAAGAAGCTTACTTATAAAAATTCTTTTGAAGTTGTTACTTAAAGAAGTGTTGCATTACTATACGAACGTTTCCTCACAAAATCAAAATAGTCTTTTTGTTAATGTTTCATATCTGTTTTTCCCTAGGGTCTCTGCCACACTTTAAGAAAAGAGGCATGGAAATTTCTTTTGGGGTATTTTCCTTGGCATAGCACTAAAGAAGAGAGAGCAAATCTGCAAAAAAGGAAAACGTGAGTACAGTGGGGTTTTTGTTACAGAAATTAAAAAGCTGTTTTTCTTACAGCATATAGTGATGTAGAAAACTTTTTGGAAACTTGAAAGACAACTGTTAAAGATTGACTGCAAAGAAGTGTGTGACACTTTCTTAAAAATTATTGTTATACTAAAGTAAAAATACTATATAAACAGGGTGGTGTTATCCCATTTATGCCAAAGAACAAATGAAATCAATGACTGTATAATAAAAAGAAAAAAATGAATGTAATAACTGAGCATGTTTGGTTTCAAAATTATCTTTCCTCTTCAGGGATGAATATTTCAGGATGAAACTACAGTGGAAATCTGTCAGTGAGGAACAGGAAAAACGTAATTCAAGATTAAGAGATTACCGGAGTCTTATAGGTAAATTTAGATTTAGAAACATGCCTAACTGTACAAATTCACTAGCTTTTTCCAATTCAATATGAAGTTGAAAAAGTGTAACCCTTTGAGTAACCTGTATGAAGAGGCACTAAAAACTAACAAGTTTGCTGTTTGCAGAGCTGTCTAAACTTTGCTATATACTTAATATTAAAACTTTTTTAACCAGAGTAATTCAGAGCTTTACACATTAGTGTTACAGAATGGCTGGATTTTTTTAACTTCCTTTACTTAATAACAAAAGGCTCTTTATTTCCTGTTCTTTCATGATGTAATTTTACTGGGAATGTCATTAAAATAATGAATATATTAGGAATGTGAAAACGTATCTGTTTGTTTTAAAATTTCTTGCAGGGATATGCGTATGTGCATTCTGACATATGGGGGGGGCCTTTATACCTACTTTTAAAAATTTCATCAAGTTCTGATGACTGTTAGCCGTTTGGATCCCCAGTTCTCTTTAGTAGTGAGATTTGGGCACCAACGTTTAGGATTGCCAAATAGTTATTTCAGGAGACAGGATAAGTTTTTTTTGTTGGACTAAACTTGTTTCAGCTGGTTATTCAGCAGGCAAGCTGAAGGGACTGAGCAAGTCTAATTTTAGTAGATTAGTAAACTACCTTTTTAGAGTGTGTGTTAACAGGAAAAAAAAATGAAGTTCAAAAAAAGGCTGAAGTTTTGTTTCAGTTAAAGTAGTTCTCTTCCTTTTTAAGTGTTTGAAATGTAAATGACAATATTAGGCTTATGTTGTGAAATAGATCCAAAACTACAAAGTACTCCTTTTATTTAAGTGAACTCAAAATTTTGCTTGTTTCAATACATCAGTCTTGAATTTCACATTATTAAAGAGTATGCTATCTGCTTGGCATGGTTGATGATGAAACACGCAGTTTTCAGCTCACTGAGTTACAGGAACTTGTTAAACAGAATTATAAACATGCTTTTGTGAACTATCACAGTGTCTTTGAGCTGATCATGTGGTAACTTTCCTACTGTGGCTTATGCTCCATCGTGTAAGTATTCATAAATAGCACTGCATAGCTAACTCGCATAGAATTGTTCTTAATCCTTGTATGTGTAGAACATTTTCACTGAATTATTATTAGGAATTTTTCCATAAAAAGTATTAACAAAAAGAAAAGCAAAAAGCTTTAAAATCTGTTTATAAGCAAATCCTTTTATTCCAGATAGGAAGGATTTTCTTTCTTTTAAAATATTCTTTATTTTGAAATGGCGTTTAGTTATGCAGTTGTCTTAAATACTTCAAAGCTCTGCAACAGTGTTTGAGGAAAAAATCAGCAGCTTAAAACATTCTGAATTAATTTTATGCTGGCTTTGTAGAACTTGTTTTGAAAATGTTTTTAAATCTGGACTGTTTTCTTAGAAAAAGATGTAAACAGGACAGATAGAACAAATAAATTCTACGAAGGTGAAGACAATCCAGGATTGATTTTACTTCATGATATTTTGATGACCTATTGCATGTATGACTTTGATTTAGGTAAGTTGTGTTCCTCTGAATGTGAAAGTCTTTTTTTTAGTTTCTGATATGAAGCTTTGCTTATGTTAAGGTCTGTTAGTACAATTGAGCTTGTATTTATTACAGTGCTTTTTGTAAATGTCAAGATTTATATTTTAATAATGCAGATAACTTTGTTCAGTTTTTCATCCTGCTTCTTCCTCTCTTCTATCTGATGCTTATCATAGGCATCTGAATTCATCAGCTGAGGTGGGACTGGGCATTAAGTGTCAGTTTGTCTTCGTCATAGCCCTACTGTTGTTTTTTTTTATAATTGAAGCAAGTTTGGTTTTCAGAGTTCTAAATGGGTTTGGGTCTTTGGAGCTTGAGCATTATACCCATTTTTAAGACTGATCTATCAATAAAAATGATAAACCAGCTGCCACTGCTGTAATTGAAGCTCGGCATGCTGAGACAGCTGTTTGTAAACCCGTGTGTTCTTATGAATACTTAAAAGCTGGTTCTTCAGGAGTACACTTAATGGTCCGTCAAAAATTACACTTTAGTTTATGCATCTGTTGCAGA